AAAATACCAGATGTAGTTCAAAATCCTCTAGCTCAGGGCCCTTCTACTCAGCTCAGGAATCCGCCGAAGGAAACGGTATGATCCAGCCCATAACTTTAGAAACAATGTTGGTCTATCAGTGTCACTGAGAGCCAGTGTGGTGTAGTGGTTAAGAGTGGTGGACTTTTATCTGGAGAACCGGGTTTGACTCCCCACTCCTCCACATGCAGCTGCTGGTGTGACCTTGGTCAGTCACAGTTCTCTAAGAGCTGTTTTCTCAAGAGCAGTTCTCTCAGAGCTCTCTCAGCCCAACCTACATCACAGGGAGTCTGATGTGGGGAGGGGAAGGGAAGACGATTGTAAATTGCTCTGAGAATCTGAGTGAAAAGCAGGGTATAATAAATTCAATACCTTCTTCCTTTTCTTCCGCCCAATACATTATCGTTCCTGTTGAGGTTGAATTCCTCTGTCTTACAAACAATAGATGGCCAGATTGTAACATTTGGTCTCTGCTCTTAATCTGGAGGCAACAGAAAATCTGCTCAGTTCTAGTCATCAGCTTGTACACAGCTTGTACACAGGGCACAAGGTCTTCGGCCCACAGAGTACAATGTTCCTGCCCACCCTCCTGTGGCAGTCCAAAATGCCCCCTGAAATCTTGTTCCTTAAGGATCCCCTCCCCCCCGGTAACAGGATTTGGGAGAAGGCAGGAAAATTGTGCTGGGGTGGTGGTGGAAGCCCTTGCACATGTGGAAATGTTAGTCTGGATCTAACCCACGAGGGGAAGAGTTGAATTTATACCCCACTCTTCACTCCGAGTCTCAGAGCGGCCTACAATCTCCTTCCCTTCCTCTCCCCACAGTAGGCACCTTGTGAGGTAGGTGGGGATGAGAGAGCTCTGGGAGAACTCTGACTTACCCAAGGTCACCCAGCTGGCTTCATGTGGAGGAAGAGTGGGGACTCAAACCTGGTTCTTCAGATTACAGTCTGCCACTCTCAGCCACTACACCAAACCGGAGAAGAAATGCTTCTCAAAAGTTGCATGACTATCTGCATCTCAATGTGACAATCATTTGGGGCTTGCTTCAGCTCCATAACTCGATCACATAGACATACGAAACTGTCTTCGGTCTACTGAATCAGACCATCAAGGTTAGTATTGTCTATTCAGACTGGCAGCAGCTCTCCAGGGTTTCATGCAAAGGTCTTTCAGATCACTTACTGTCTAGTCCTTTTAACTGGAGATGCCAGGGGTTGAACCTGGGACCTTCTGCATGCAAAGCAGAATCTCTTTCACTGAGCCACAGGCCTCTCCGGGGGGGACACGGTTAGTTTGTGTACCTATTCCATACCCACACATGAAGCTGCCTTATCCTGAGTCAGACCCTTGGTCCGTTAGAGTCAGTGTTGTCTACTCAGCCTGGCAGCAGCTCTCCAGGGTCTCAGGTAGAAGTCTTTCACATCACCTACTGGCAGATTCTTTAGCTGGAGATGCCAGGGATCGAACCTGGGACCTTCTGCATTCCAAGCAGATATTCTACCACTGAGCAAGCCATGACCCTTCCCCCACTGTGTGCAACAAGTCACCACCACTATTGGAATACTGCTGCAATTGTCCACGTTCACAGCCATTCAAGTGGAAACGGTGCATACCAGGGGGAAAGGGGTAGAGGAGAGAGGTTCTTGCGATAACCCCAATTTCACACTCTGTACCTGCCCATGTGTGAAGACAGCAGCCAAGACCGGCTTTGACATTGTTTCATGTACTCTCAAGCAAAGTGATTGACACCTCCAGCCAAAGCTTGCCGGTAGGTTACAATATTGAGCGCTGCAGTACAGACTTTGCCTTTGTTTAACCTGTTGGCTGAGACAACCTTAAGCTCCTTTGCACATCTGCCATGGGCCCGGTGACTCTCCGGCTGTCAATGCCAGGCCGAGAGAGAAGAGGGCGAGGAGAACCGTGGCCGAAGAGGGTGGGAAGGGCCGGTGAGTGAGCCTGCTTTCTTGTTTAAAGATCATTTCTCAAAATGTGGGTGGGGGATCCCAAAAGGGTTGCAGTTTTCTTCTTAGTAGAGCTTGAGGCCAGGAAGGTGGAGGTGGATGAGCTAGGAGAGGAGATCCTGAAAGGCTTGAAGGCAAATCTGGGTTTGCTTCAGCACATAAAGTGCAAAATGGTCAGGAAATGTATTTACTTCATTTAAAGTATCCTCTGCCTTTCTCCCCAGTGGTGGAGACCCTCAGTGGCTTATATCATTCTCCTCTCCTCCATTTTATCCTCCTTAGGATGAGAGTGTGTGATTGGCCCAAGGTCACCCAGCAAGATTCCATAAGAGTCGGGATTGGAACCTGGCTCTCCCAGATCCTGGTCCGACACCACACCACACCACACTGCTATGTCCTGTGGCTCAATAATAACATATATTTATATATGCTAGCCATGAACAAATTTTTTAAAAACCCTTCCTCAATGTTAACTGATGATTCTTGCCTTTTAACGTTGGAGAGGTAGAAAAGGGAGCTTCTTCGGCAAGTCAAGGTTGAAAAACAAAGTAAGTTTAGAAGCAGGGTCCAGTTCAAACCATTTGAAAATCCTTTATTTCTACCCCAAAGAAACTCAAGCTGACTTCCCTTGTTTTATCTGCATGGCAACCCTGCGAAGTATGTTACACTGAGAGATAGTGATTAGACCACCACCACCACCTAGTGGGTTTCATGGTTGAGCAGGGGTTTGAATCCAGGCCTGTCTTGTAAAAACCCAAGATAAGAACATAAGAGAAGCCAATGTCGGATCAGGCCAATGGCCCATCCAGTCCAACACCCTGTCACACAGTGGCCAAAAATACCAGGTGCCATCAGCAGGTCCACCAGTGGGGCCAGGACACTAGACGCCCTCCCACTGTTGCCCCCCCAAGCACCAAGAATACAGAGCATCCTTTGCCCCAGACTGAGAGTTCCTATCTATACCTTGTGGCTAATAGCCACTGATGGACCTCTGCTCCAGATGTTTATCCAATTCCCTCTTGAAGCTGTCCATGCTTGTAGCCGGCACCACCTCCTGTGGCAGTGAATTCCATGTATTAATCACTCTTTGGGTGAAGAAGGACTTCCTTTTATCTGTTCTAACCCGAATGCTCAGCAATTTCATGGAGTGCCCACAAGTTCTTGTATTGTGAGAAAGGGAGAAAAGTACCTCCTTCTCTACCTGCTCTTTCCCATGCATAATCTTATAAACCTCGATCATGTCAACCCTCAGCCATCGTTTCTCCAAGCTAAAGAGCCCCAAGCGCTTTAACCTTTCTTCATAGGAAAAGTGTTCCATAAGAAAATAATGTTCCATAAGAACACAATGTTGGATCAGGCCAAAGGCCCATCCAGTCCAACACTCTGTGTCACACAGTGGCCAGAAATACCAGTGCCATCAGGAGGTCCAGCAGTGGGGCCAGGACATTAGAAGCCCTCCCACTGTTGACCCCCCCCCAAGCATCAAGAAGACAGAGCATCACTTGCCCCAGAGCCCCTAGCTATACCTTGTGGCTAATAGCCACTGATGGACCTCTGCTCCATATGCTTATCTAATTCCCTTTTGAAGCCGTCCATGCTTGTAGCACCCACCACTTCCTGTGGCAGTGAATTCCATGTGTTAATCACTCTTTGGGTGAAGAAGTACTTCCTTTTATCCGTTCTAACCCGACCGCTCTGCAGTTTCATGGAGTGCCCACGAGTTCTTGTATTGTGAGAAAGGGAGAAAAGTACCTCTTTCTTTACCTGCTCTTTCCCATGCATAATCTTATAAACCTCGATCATGTCACCCCTCAGTCGTAGGCAGGCCATGGCAAAGCCACCTCTGAACGCCTCTGGCCTTGGAAACCCTACGGGGTTGCCCTGAATTGGATGCGACTCGATGGCACTTCCCACCACCACAGTGCCTCAGCACCTAGCATGCTGCACCTCTCCCAGGCAACCGACAACACTCCAGTCCCGAATGCCAGGAACAGAGAGCAGAGGGCATAGGAAACAATGGCTGAAGAGGGCGGGAAGGGCCAGTAATGTGAGACTGGGTTGGAGACACACAGCAAAGTGGGATGTCTGAATTGGATGTGACTCGATGGCACTTCCCACCACCACAGTGCCTCAGCACCTAGCATGCTGCACCTCTCCCAGGCAACTGACAACACTCCAGTCCCAGATGCCAGGAACAGAGAGCAGACGGCATAGGAAACAATGGCTGAAGAGGGCAGGAACGGCCAGTAATGTGAGACTGGGGGTTGGAGACACACAGCAAAGTGGGATGTGGTCCATGGGTGGAGGGTGAACAGGGACTGGAGGGGGTTCAAGCCGAACTAATCTCAAGAAGATGTCTTGAAAAAGAGTGCAATTACTTCAGGGTGGACGGAAGACAGCCTGGGATAGCCTGATCTCTTCAGATCTCGGAAGCTAAGCGGGGCTGATAAGTGGATGCGAGACTGCCAAGGAAGGCTCTGCAGAGGAAGGTGATGGCAAAGCCATCTCTGGTTCCCACTGGCCTTGGGAGGCCCCTGCTGAGGTAGCCAGAAGTCAGCTGTGATTTGATGGCACTTGCATACGTACTTCAGCATGGTGCAGCAGATATGGAAAGTCAGCATGAGATACGCAGGAAAATAAACAAGCAGGTGCAGGCAACGCAAATGAAAACTGCACAGAGAACAATCCCTGCAGCAACGATGTACCACTGGCCTTTGGAGAATCCATTACGCACACCACCATTTAGGAAAACGTGGTATTATATTGTGTTTTATTTGTAAGGAGGAATACATCAGGAAGTCGCAAAAGACAGGGAGAAGAATGGAAGTGGAATTTTTAGTAACACTCCACACCCGAAAAACTGGGAGGAGATATACCTGTTACTAGTGGGAACAGCCAGTGCAGAGCCTGCAATGCCGCTTATCACCTGGCTACGAAACAGCCCACATCCCATGAACACTGGATTACTGCTGATGGGGGAAAGTAGGGCTCACTAAAGTCTTCTAGTAAGGAAAGGGAACAGCCAGTACAGAGCCTGCAATGCCACTTATCACCTGGCTACGAAACAGCACACATCCCATGAACACTGGACTACTGCTGATGGGGGAAAGTAGGGCTCACTAAAGTCGTCTTCTAGTAAGGAAAGGGGCTAGTCAAATGTGCTGTTTGTTGGAACCTTCTGATTGCATTTTGCCCCATCATCTACACCAAGTCTGAAGGAAAACTGGGCAAGGAGGGTGTCTGTATGATGCTGGACTCCTGCCTTACTTTGTCTGCGTCTCCAGCCTACAATTTCCTACACAAATAGGGCTGATAACAAAGGCAGCCGGCTTGACAGATACTGGGTGGTGGTCACACAACTTAGGTGCTGGAATCCTGTCTTCTGTTTCTGTACTCATATGATACATGTGTCCCAATTATGAAAATGAAGCAGGAACAATAAGAATGGAATAAACACATCAGCTGTGAGAAAGGGTTAACAGGCAGTGATCTTAAAGACTGGCACTTCAAATCACCTCTTCTGCCACAAGCAAAGCCAATCTGAATAATGGTTTATTTTTTTCTTATCTACTTCACATACTTTTGAATTTACTGATCCCTGGGCAAGCGGCACGAAACCACTTTACAAAGACCTCCCTTTTCAGGGGGAAAGCAGGACTTGCTAGGAATCGTGCACTTGGGTTGCTTCAGAAATAGTAAGCTGTGTGAGTAATCCAGTTGGAAGACTGATCCTTGGAGCGTTTGGCGGAGCTGTGGGAAGTAAAAATAGACTTGTACGCTTCTGATTTCTCCTCCTTGTTGGTAGCAGGTCGCTTGAGGGGCCCAGGTGCATTTTTGCCATCTTTTCCAGACGCAGGCAATGTGCTTCCCTCAACTGCTGCAGCGGAAAAACCAAACAAAAACAAATAACAGCAAATGTCAATCAGTGGCCAAACTGCACTGCATGCACGTGTAGAGAGATGAGAAAGACAGGACTACATTTCAGGGCTGACTTTGACAGGTACTAAGATAGCTTCACATTGCAAAGGCTGCTGCAGTCTTAACATAAGTAATAACAGAAGTTTTAATTTTTTTTAAAAAAATACAAAGATCATACAGAATTTAAACATGCAGGAACCAAACAAGACACCAAAACTGCACTAAGATTAATCTTTTCACATTTCATTTTTTGTGCATATTAAGCATGGACGTTATCTAACAACGGTGATAACCATGCAGAAATTCGAACAGTTTCTGGAACAAGGGAGCTATAGGGTTCACGATCCACAAGGAAGCTTTCCAAGTCGGCTGACCAAACTCTTGCTTAAAAACGGGACCCTGCTTATCTCTGCTTAAGAGATAACAGCTACTGTTATGACCGATGTTGTCATGGTTAAAGCCATCAGGAGATGCTTAAGAGGGGAGAGGGTGGCCGCTGTAATCCCATGGCTCATTCTGATCCTTTGACCTTGTCTTTCCCTTGGCGAAAAAGGAGGATGGGGTCTTCCTTGACCACCAAAAAGTGAGAAAAGTGGATTATAAGTAAATACATAATAGTCCATATGAAGAGGCATATGAATGGTCTATATGAAGAGACATCATAAGAACATAAGAGAAGCCAACGTTGGATCAGGCCAATGGCCCACCCAGTCAAACACTCTGTCACACAGTGGCCAAAAATACCATCAGGAGGTCCAGCAGTGGGGCCAGGAAACTAGGAGCCCTCCAGTTTGGTGCAGTGGTTAGGAGCACGGACTCTAATCTAGGAGAACCAGGTTTGATTCCCCAAGCCTCCACATGCATCTGGTGGTGTGACCTTGGGTCAGTCACAAGTTCTGTCAGAGCTGTTCTCTCAGGAGCAGTTCTCGAAAGAGCTCTCTCAGCCCCACCTACCTCACAGGGTGTCTGTTGTGGGGAGGTAAAGGAGATTGTAAGCCGCTCTGAGACTCCTTCGGGGTCATTTCCTGCAGGAGCGCACAGGAGCGGAGCTCCAGCAGTAAAGAGCCCAGGAGGTGGGCACATGCAACAAGCCCCGCCCCCTGCTCCCAGCAGCCCTCAGTCAGAGCAAGAAGCAGCCAGGTAAGCTGCAGAGCACACACACCCGGCCCCCCGGTCCAAAACAGTCCAGTGGCACCTTTAAGACCAAGTTTGATTCAGGTACAAGCTCTCCCTCCTCTGCGAGGACAGATCTGCATGTCCAAAACAGTCCAGTGGAGCCTGAGCAGTGGGCGTTGCCTTCTGACACAGTTCCAGTGATGTCAGGGGGTGTGGCATATGCAAATGAGTTATGCTAATGAGTTATGCTAATGAGCTCCTGTACCTCTTTTTCTACGAAATGACCCCTGGGAACATCTAATGAGACATGTGCTAGGACTCAGCTACAAGGACAAAAGCCGTGTGAGACAGAGGCCGCAGCAAGGAGGAGAACTGGGTGAGAGTAAACCAAAAGGGCTGGCTGGATGCAACCCTAGGCTTATACCAGCTCCAAAGAATATTTGGTTGTGAGTGGCTAATGAAGGATTGCTCATGACAATGATGCCACATTGCAAAGGATCCACCAACCTGTGCCCTTGCAGAAGGCAATATTCCTCTTTTCTCCAGAGTTAATGCTTGTGGCATCCTTTCCTGTATTCACGTTCGATGGTCCAGGTGAATCTTTAAAAAAAAGGGGGGGGGGAAGGAAAGGTAAGGACAGAAGAGGAATGTGGCAGGAGATTAAAAGATAAAGCTGCAAGCTGCGTCCTATTCAAATCAATGGCATAGCTCGTGTATTTCTCTCGTTCACACACACCCTATTATTACTGAAATGTATATTCTGC